TTGGCGCACTCAGATATATGTATCTCTGATATATGCAGGTCAAATTAGATGTAATTTATTGCAGATACACTATAATCAAGTGTGATTCACGTGTATCTAGGATACACTAACTCTCTTGCTCGCATCAAAATGTATTTGGTATCAAAGATAGATGTATATAGTATATTTGATACATGTATCTGACTTGAAATCTTTTGTATTTCATTATGTGTATGGTACCAAAGATAAATGTATCTAGTATCTTTGATACATGTCTTGAAATCTGAAGAAATTGTGTATTTATCTTATTTTGAAATTTAATACGAATTTATTAATTAGTGAGACAATGTGTAATTATTTCAAACTATATAATAGATCAGTATTATAAGAATATTTATGTAATTAGATAGTATTTCATTCAAATAATCCCAAATTGACGAAATAAGATGAGATATGTCATAATTAAGCCTATGATATTAATTGTACTGCATTTGAATTTTTGAACTCGTATATTTATGATCGTGTTGATTAAGCCTATGATTAAAAGGCGTTTTCACATCTATAAAATATAGTCTTGTATTTAATATATACCTTTTGAATATTGTCTTCTTATTCCAAGTGAACAACTAGTTTATTGTAACACATTTATATAGGCACTATTTAGGCAATGTAATTTCTAACTTATAAAGAAATAATTTTGAAATGTGTTTGTTCACTTCTAGCAAATATCTACAATCTTTCAAAATAGCCATTACAGGTTGATATTGTATGTCTTCGTCTTTAACCGAGAAAAGGGTCAAAATTATCTTCGAACTATTCGAAATAGCTCATTTATATCTTTTAATTATGTTTGGGATCAAAACTATTGTTGCCGTTTATGTTTTAGACTACAAATACCCTTAAAACGTTATATTTGCCATTATAGCTGACATGGCAGTCCACCCAAGCAGCAGTGGTGAAGCCACCTTACGGTTTGGGGGTTCATCCGAACCCCTTCGACGGAAAATTATATTATTTATATATGGTTAAAATAATTTTTTAGGTATATATAGTATATGTCGAACCCCCTTCGGCTACTTCATGTGTCTATTTTTTTAGATTTTGAACTCCGTTAATGAAAATTCTGACTCCGCCACTGCCAGGCAGTCCAACATGGCAAAAATACCTTCCTCTCAATAATGTTGTTCTTCCTTGTTCATCCCTATCACAAAAATAAAATCAAATATAATTCTTCCATTGTTCTTGTTTGAGTTGTTGTTCGGACTTTGGAGGTCCAATTTCAAAGTGTGCTGACGTTTGTTTGAGATTGTAATTACGTGCTGAAGGATCGAGTTCATTATTTAAGTTTTGGGGTCATAGATTCCCAAAATCGATTTTTAAAATTTCAAGCTTTTAAGAACTGACAAGATAAATTTATATCCTTAATTCAAAATGTAATTTTAAAATATCTCATCTTATCTCGTATACTAAATATAGAGTATAAGAAAGAAGAAAGGTGGACAAATGAAAGAAAATGTAAAGAGTAAAGATATGGTTGTCTTGAATTACTATACTAATTAACTAGTGGATTTTTTTATTTATTTAACTATTTTTTCTTTTTGAAACTAAATTAATTTCAGCTTCTTGTGTAGCAAACAATAAGATATCCCAGCGATATTAAGGAGCAAGCTACTTATAAGATGTTTAATATTTTTCTTCTTGTAGGAAGAAATACTTAATTTTTAGTAAACTCAGTTCTTAGTCTTATCTTAATTAATATCTATTTTACTCACCTTTCGTATTTTCTTAATTCATCACCTTTTAAATAATAAAAAAAAAAAATAGAGGAGAAATTTGTGTTCTTTTTCTATTTATGATTCTCTCGATAACTATGATGCTTAAGTTTATATACATTTCAACTAATTTCACTAGATATTCGAGATTTAATGACTAATTTAGTAAATTTTAATTTATGTGGTATCTTATACTAACATCAATAGCATGTAACTCTATCAACATGTTATGATAGATGAAAAATATCAAATATAACACGTAACTTTGTCCATTAATATTTGTAGAGATGAAAAAATATCATCAAGTTTACGGTTCTAGATGCAGTTGGAATAGGAATTCTAATTTGTTTAAAATTTGTTATTTTTGATATTTATTTAATTATGTCTATTTAGAATTTGCTTGTCCTAGTTCATATAAGAATAGATTTCCTAATCGTAATTTAATTTGGTTTCTTACTATTATAAATAGGGGTATTGCTGAATGTTTTCAATATACAAAATAGAGAGAAGTTGAAGTCTGATTCAACAACTTTTGAGTTTATAAATAAAACTCCGGCGATTGTGATTCAACTCTCCGGTGATCGATTCTTTTCTCCGGTGGACTTAAAATACGTGGTTCTAAGATGGCGATGAGTGAGGTGAAGATTATTGAGTTTGAGGAAGGATGGGAATTTTTGCAGATGGGAATTACTAAATTGAAGAAAATTTTAGAAGGAGAAGAACTTTTTTTCAGCTCTCAAGAGTATATGATGCTCTATACAACTATATTTAACATGTGCACACAGAATAAGCGGCGGAATGATTACTCACAACACTTGTATGATAAGTACAGGCAAACAATTGTAGACTATATCAATTATACAGTTCTGCCCTCTTTACGAGAGAAGCACGATGAGTTCATATTGAGGGAGATTGTGAAAAGATGGGCGAATCACAAAATTATGATTAGGTGGCTCTCACGCTTCTTCCATTATCTGGAACGATATTTTATTGCCCGATGGTCTCTACCTGGACTTGACGAAGTTGGTCTGATGTTCTTTCGTGATCTGGTTTATGAGAAGTTGAAGGGTAAAGCTAGAGATGCAGTTATTGTGTTGATTGAACAAGAACGCGAGGGTGAGCAGATTGACAGAGGTTTATTGAAGAATGTGTTTGATATATTCGTTGGAATTGGAATGGGGAATATGGAGTATTATGAGAATGACTTTGAAGATGCAATACTTAAACATACTGCAGCTTATTATTCTCGAAAAGCTTCAAGTTGGATTGTGGAAGATTCGTGTCCAGATTATATGTTGAAGGCAGAGGAGTGCTTGAAGAAAGAGAAAGATAGTGTGTCTCATTATCTCCATGTTGTTAGTGAGACGAAACTTTTAGAGAAAGTGCAAAACGAATTGTTGGTTGTATATACGAATGAGTTACTTGAGAAGGAGCATTCTGGATGTCGAGTATTGCTTAGAGATGACAAGGTAGAGGATTTATCTCGAATGTATAGGCTATTCCACAGAATCGACAAGGTATTGGAACCTGTTTCAAATATGTTTAAGCAGCACGTCGTTGCTGAAGGCATGGTTTTGGTGCAACAGGCTGAAGATACGACAAATAGCAAGTCTGAAACTCCATTCTTTGTTAGAAAGTTGATTGAGCTTTACGATAAGTATATGGCTTATGTAACATACTGTTTTGCTAATAACTCTCTGTTTCATAAGGCTTTCAAGGAGGCATTTGAGGTGTTTTGTAACAAGATTGTATCTGGTTGTTCAAGTGCAGAGCTCCTTGCTTCTTATTGTGATAATATTCTTAAGAAAGGCGGAAGTGAAAAACTCAGTGATGATGCTATTGATGAGACGTTGGATAAGGTAGTAAAGCTTCTCGCATACATTAATGACAAAGACCTTTTCGTGGAGTTCTGCAGGAAGAAGCTTTCTCGTCGATTGCTCTTTGATAAAAGTGCGAATGATGAACACGAAAGGCTTATCTTAACAAAGCTAAAGCAACAGTGTGGTGGACATTTTACATCAAAGATGGTGGGAATGCTAACAGACTTGACTTTGGCTAAGGAAAATCAGAACAATTTTCAAGAATATCTCAGCAACAACCCGAGTACGAGTCCTGGAATTGATTTAACTGTCACAGTTCTTACAAGTGGATTCTGGCCTAGTTATAAATCTTGTGATATGAGTCTCCCTGTGGAAATGGCTATGTGTGTACAAGTCTTCAACGAATTCTATCAGACAAAAAAGAAACACAGGAAATTGACATGGATTTATTCATTGGGTACGTGTAACGTCAATGGGAAGTTTGATTCAAAAACCATTGAATTGATTCTGGGAACTTATCAGGCTGCTGTTCTGTTATTGTTTAATTCGTCAGATAGATTGAGTTACTCAGAAATCAAAAGTGCGTTAAATTTGGCTGATGATGACTTGATCAGATTGCTTCAATCCCTTTCATGTGCCAAGTATAAAATTCTGATTAAGGAGCCTAGCAATACAGATGTTTCGTCATCTGATCATTTTGAATTCAACTCTAAGTTCACTGACAGGATGAGACGGATTAGGGTCCCATTACCTCCTGTGGATGAAAGGAAAAAGGTGATCGAGGATGTAGGCAAAGATAGACGTTATGCAATTGATGCTTGTATTGTGCGTATTATGAAGAGTCGGAAAGTTCTTCCTCATCAACAACTAGTAGCGGAGTGTGTTGAGCATTTGAGCTCAATGTTTAAGCCTGACTTGAAGGCAATCAAAAAGCAAATGGAAGATCTCATCACTAGAGATTACTTGGAAAGAGACCAAGAGAACCCAAATTTGTTCAAGTATTTAGCCTAAACCAGTAATCTAGTTATTTAGGATTTGTTATTTTTGATATTTATTTAATTATGTCTAGTTAGGATTTGTTTGTCGTATTTCATATGTGAATAAAATTTTTTTGTCTTAGTTTAATTTGTTTCTTACTATTATAAGTAGTTTTAGGTGATTCTGCTCCTTTCTTCATACTGTTATCAACTTGTATGAATTGTACATCTTATTGAGTTTCTCTAATTCGATCAAATAATTCAAGTGCTTCTAAGCATAATCATGAAAATTACTTGTAGAATTTATTGATGGGTACATAATGAACATACATAATTTGACATAAATAGTTGTACAAACAACCTTATTTGATTCAATATCTCTCATTTCCACAACTATTCCAACACATACCTTACCTGTTACATTCGCGATGATAATTGCTAAACAATTTAGTCTAAAGTCTAAAATGCAACAGAGCTGAAGTGCCATCCAGCCCTTTGTTATTGAGATAAGTTGTGAACTCCTTAATCATTGTTTCCCTGTACTTCGGAGGATTCTGTTCCGATATCAGCTCCTTTATAGGTCCATACAGCTTTTGTGTTGGTAGTAAACCTGTCGTGAAGAAGCACGCCATTGATACCCTTGTACCAACTTTATTTGCCAGTACTCTGTGATCAACACTTTTGAACTTGTCATTCGTTATAAGCTGAAAATTATGTGTCAAAAATATCATAAGTTATAAGATAATTATGTTTCTGATACAGATATGATAAATGTGACACTATTTGCCTGTAGAAGATCTCCTATATTGACCACGAGTGCTCCGGGAGTAGGGGGAACATCTACCCAATGGTTCTGATGTAGGACTTGGAGACCGCCTATGTTGTCTTGGAGAAGCACGGTGAGGAAGTCGTTGTCAGCATGTTTACTGGTGCCTAGAGTAAGTTCAGGTTGTGGACATGCTGGATAATATTGGCCTATAGCTAGAAGCCCCTCTGCACAACCCATATCCTTGAGGTGGTTTGGTTCAAGGCCAATAGCCTCGAACACTAGTTCAAATAGAGTGTCACCTACTGTCATCACTTGATTCGTGTACTCAAGGAGAATTTCCCTATCACAAATGCTGTAATGACCCTCTTGGTCATTTTTGTGTCTTGCCTTCTGTGTGTCGTTTAGAGCGTTCCTGTAGCGACCCCAAGTCATTTATGACTTGCTGGGACTGACAGTTCGGTCACCTGGTCGTTCGTTTGGTCTTGGTGTGAGTTTTTGTGTTTTGGAGCTTATGAACCTTGAATGATCATTTTCGATCAAAAGTTCAAGAAGATGACATCGGAATCCAATTCTGACGATTTCATCAGCTCCGGAAGGGTCATTTTAAGCTAGTAGCACGGTCGACATGACTCCCGAGGTTTTCAGTGTGAGTCGGTGTGATTAGGCGTTTTAGCTTTTGAATTTTGGCCTAAGTTTGACTTTGGTCAATATTCTGAGTAAACGCGCTCAGATGAGAATTCCGTCAGTGTGGTTAGCTTCAGAATGTCGAGTTTGGTCTAGATTGACCCTTCTTTTGTGTCCCGAGGTTTTCGATATCTTTCCGAGCCCTTTT